TGAAAGTCTTATATCTAGATGTCTTTCACGAAACCGTCCTCAACGTTTGGATGTGCCGGTTCCTGTCAGGGATTTTGCTTGGATACCAAAAGCAGACACCCATCCCCCAACACAACCCGCTCCAGCAAAGAGTAGCTTTCCACTATCGAGTCTAGCCGACGCCTACTGCAACATACACAGCTTGTGCACCACGCTACACTATACACTACGCCCATCCCCTGACTCCATTCCTGTCAGGGACTTTGCATGGAGACCAAAAGCAGACACCCATCCCCGAATACAACCCTTCCTGCAAAGCGCAGCTTTCCACTATCGAGTCTAGCCAACACCTACTTCAACACAAACAGCTTGTGTGCAAAGTTCAACACCGCTCTACGCCCATCCCCTGACTCCATCCCTCCTGCGATGAGAAGCTCTCCACTATGGATTCCAGCAGCTGCTCCTTCCGAAGGGTTCTGCCGTCGCGCTGCTGCGGCACTTCCAACTTCGCGCACAGCTGCCGCAGGTCGGAAGTGCTCTTGGCCTCCAACTCGGTCCGCAACCATGCCGCGCCTCCCTCTCCATGTCCCTCTCGCAGCCGCTGTACCTCTGGCTCCTGCTGCCCTGCTTCCTGTATGGGAATTTGCAGGGATATCAGAAGCAGACACCTATTGGAGCACAAGAAAACAGCGTCTCAACTAAGTTGACCTGTACACTGCACCCATCCCCTAACACAAATTGGGTATCTTAACAAAGATTGTTGGGTATCTGAACAAAGATTGAAAGTCTTATATCTAGATGTCTCTCACAAAACCGTCCTCAACGTTCGGATGTGCCGGTTCCTGTCAGGGACTGCATGGACACCAAAAGCAGACACCCATCCCCGAACACAACCCTCCCTGCGAAGAGCAGCTCTCCACTATCAAGTCTAGCCAACACTCACTTCAACACAAACAGCTTGCGCGCAAAATTGCACTAAACACTACGCCCATCCCCTTACTCCATCCCTCCTGCGATGAGAAGCTATCCACTACGGCTTCCAGCAGCTGCTCCTTCCGAAGGGCTGTGCCGTCGCGCTGCTGCGGCAGCCCCAACAAAGCGCACAGCCGTCGCAAGTCGGCGCGGTTCTTGGCCTCCAACTCGGTCCGCAACCACGCCGCGCCTCCCTCCCGGTGTCCGTCTCGCAGGCGCTGTGCCTCTTGCTCCTGCTGACCCGCTGCCTCCGCGTTTCGCAGAACTGCGTCCTGCAGAGTGGCCATGGTCCGCGCGCCTCTTGACGAGAAGCTTCTGAGGTGTGTTGAAACTTCTTGCAAGTACATTCTTCACGACTCTTGCCTTGCTGTACGTTCCCGGCTACAGTCTGTGGAGACTTGCGCGAACTCACTTGGAAATTGCTGCGGTCTCTCTGCTTGAGCCACGAACACGAAACGAAACGTGGCTAAGATCTACAGCACCAAAGACCTGCGAAAGAATTTCATGAACATCTGCTTTATGCTGGCTTTGCCACCTACTATCTATACATACATATATACATCTATATCAGAATACTATGGCAGCCAGCGTGCTGGCTTTGCCATCTAGATTATGGGAGCCAGCTCACTGGCTT